CCTCAAACTCTTGGGCTCAAGCAATTCTCTTGCCTCAGCCTCCTGAGTAGCTGGGACTACAGGCGCCTGCCACAACGCCTGGCTATTTTTTTTGTTATTGCAGTTGTTGTTGTTTTGCTGGCTTGGGCTAGCAAACCTGCCAGCCTCGGTATATGTGGCTGGCGCTGTAACCATTGTGCTATGGGCACCGAGCCTATTCATAAGTATTTATTAAGTGCCTTGTAAGATATTATGTTAAGGGCTAAAGATCAATTTTTTTTTAAAGGCTTGTTCCTTCCCTTAAACAGCTTAGATAGAAACTCCTTTTTTTTTTTTTAAGACAGAGTCTCACTTTGTCACCCTGGGTAGAGTGCCATGGTATCATAGCTCACAGCAACCTCAGACTCTTGGGCTCAAGTGATTCTCTTGTCTCAGCCTCCTGAGTACCTGGGACTACAGGTGCCCCACAACGCCTGGCTATTTTTAGAGTTGGGGTCTTGTTCCTGTTCAGGCTGGTTTTGAACCTCTGAGCTCAGGCAATCCACCTGCCTTGGCCTCCCAGAATGCTAGGATTACGGGAGTGAGCCACCACACCTGGCCTAGAATGTGAACTTCTTGAGGATAGTTACCATGTATTTATGAAACATTTTTGTATTTCCAGTGCCTTACACGTTGTAAAGTATGTAATAGATGATTAATGAATGAATAAATGAGTGGTTGTATGCCATTTTCACCTGAGTGACTTATTTTAGAAAGACTATTACATATTATGTTAAGGCTTTCAAATATCACTTACTGTATAACTTAAACTTCTAAATAATCAAGCATTCCAAATTAGGTATAATAATTTTGTTAGCTAGCTCTCCTCCCCCTTTCTTTTTATCTTTTTTTTTTCTTTTGCAGTTTTTGGCCGGGGCTGGATTTGAACCCACCACCTCCATCATATGAGGCTGGCACCCTACTCCTTTGAGTCATAGACGCTGCCCTCCCTTTCTTTTTAGATGATTGTCACAAAGTGGTATAACTGGAAGGAGCTCTTGTAGATCATGAGATAAAGAAAGGGGGCATTTGTTTGAGGCTAGAAAGCCAGGGAGCAGCACAGGCAAGATCCAGAGTTAGGAGACTTAACTTCAGTGTTCTTTCACTGTAGCAGGCTCTTATAATAGTAGCAGTGGCAATGGTAACCATGCTGTTGTTTGAGTTCATATCTATAGCTTAGTGTCTTTTACCTCTATTTCATAGATGAGGAAAATAGAGAGTTAGCAAGGCTAGGCCACTTCCCAAGCCTCATAGCTAATACGGGGCAGAATCAGACTTAACAGGTGGTCTGTCTCAGAGCTCATTCCCTCACCTCTCCATGTCTGCTTTATGTGGGAATGGATGATGCCTTTAAAAGCAGAGTTCATGGCATTAGTGGTAAAACCCAGCATCTGCTCAGTGAGTCTGATGATTCTTTCCCTCTGTCCCACACTGTTGAAGATAGTCTCCTTTTGGATGATTTTTCTTGAAGAGCGAAATGATAGAAATATGAGTAGTTCAGTTTAATACTTATTTTAGAGACTAAAGCTTTCATTTTATTATCTGAGCATTAAGGGTTTTTCTGAATTTCTAATTGAAATTTCTTTTTAATTACAACAGATATGTTTATGTAAGTTCTTAGAGAGATTTAAAAAATGCCTATCTATAATTCTTTTTTTTTTTTTTTTTTGAGACAGAGCCTCAAGCTGTCCCCCTGGGTAGAGTGCCGTTGAGCATAGCTCACAGCAACCTCTAACTCCTGGGCTCAAGCGAGTCTCCTGCCTCCGCCTCCCAAGTTGCTGGGACCACAGGTGCCCACCACAACGCCTGGCTATTTTTTTCTTTTTCTGCTGCAGCCATCATTGTTGTTTGGCAGCCCGGGCTGGATTCAAACCTGCCACCTTAGGTGTATGTGGCTGGCGCCTTAGTCACTTGAGCCACAGGCGCCGAGCCTATAATTCTTAACACAATATCTCAACCTTATAAAAATTCTTGGCACTTATCCTATAATGGCATGGTACACATTTTAGTCTTTTCTGGAATTTTTTCAGATATTTGCATGCTTAATGGTTGGTCTAAAAAAATGAAGCTTGGAGTTGTTCCTAAATTCTGACTACTGCTGAACTTCTTGTTTCGTTACAGACTTCTTTCTTTCTCTTTCCATATAGGGCTTTACACAGGGATTTCAAAACAGTTTAGTTCGTAATGAACTGGAAAGTCGTTAGCGCTTAGTGCAGCGCGGCCTATAGCTCTTTGAAAAAAGAGAGTTCCCTCTGTTATACTGGTCTCCAAAAGTAAAACATCTTTAATAATACCCACAGAAAAATTTAAACCTCCTTCCACAAAGTCATTAAAATTTTCTTTTAAGGGAAGCATAGCTCAGTGGGTAGGGCGCCAGTCACATACACCAAGGTTGGGAGGTTCGAATCCGCCCTGGGCCAGCTAAACAATAATGATAATTACAAAAAAACTAAAAAATAGTCAGGCATTGTAGCAGGAACCTGTCATCCCAGCTACTAAGGAGGCTCAGGCAAGAGAATCACTTAAGGCCAAGGGTTTGAGGTTGCCATGAGCTGTGACACCACGGCACTCGACCGAGAGCAACATAGTGAGACTCTGCTTCCAAAATAAACCAAATTTTTCTTTTAATATTCTCAGTGTAGTCATTCATTTTAGTTCTTCCTCCCGTGTTACTGAGTTCAGTTCTCAAAAAATAACTGTCTTTCAAGTATAGTTTTTTCTTTCTTTCTTTCTTTCTTTTTTTTTTTTTTTTGAGACCGGGCCTCAACCTATTGCCCTTGGTAGAGTGCAGTGGCATCACAGCGCACAGCAACCTCCAACTCCTGGGCTCAAGCGATTTTTCTGCCTCCGCCTCCCAAGTAGCTGGAACTACAGGCGCCCGCCACAACAACCAGCTATTTTTGGTTGCAGCCATCATTGTTTGGCAGGCCCGGGCTGGATTTGAACCTGCCAGCTCAGGTATATGTGGTGGCTCCTTAGCCTGTTGAGCCACAGGCGCCGAGCCTCAAGTACAGTTTTTATTTTTTTTAAACAGAGTCTCGCTATGTTGCCCATTGTAGAGTACTGTGTTGTCACAGCTCACGGCAACCTCAAACTCTTGGGCTTAAGTGATTCTCTTGCCTCAGCCTCCCAAGTAGCTGGGACTATAGGTGCCTGCCACAGTGCCTGACTTTTTTGGTTGCAGTTGTTGTTTAGCAGGTCCAGGCTGGGCTCAAACCCGCCAGCTTCAGTGTATGTGGCCGGTGCCCTATTCACTAAGCTACAGGTGGCAAGCCTCAAGTACAGTTTTTAATGTAACCCTCACGTGTGCATTGTCTGGTGTTGAAAAAATGAAAAAATATCTTTGGAAGAATCTTACAAGATACCTGAAATTCCTCAGAGAATTCATAGTTGACAAAAAAAGTACCAAGTGCATCTCAAACCAAAAGACTGCACCTAATTTTATTTGTTCTTTAACAGCCATACTTTACATTCAAGAAGTAGAAATAAACTTACATGACTAGAAATAACCCATCAGTTTGGTGACAAATGGTGTACTTTAAATCCTTTATTGAGTGGATTTACTAAACCAAAATTCATTATTAAGTGACATTGTTCGTGGGTTTTTATTCAGATGTTCACTATTAGGAGACACTTTCTCAAGTCACATTTCTTCAGTTTTTACTGTAAGTTTCTTAAGTATTAGGGTTTAGGATGATAGCTTTTTAACCCCACATTTAATAATAACAAAAATAATAGCAGCTAATGATTGCATCCTAACCATCTGCCAGACATTCTGCTATAAGCTTATGTGTCTCATTTAATCATACAGCAGCATTTTGACATATGAATACTGTTATTATCCCTGTTTTACAAGTAAGGATTTAAGTCTTAGCAAGGTGTAAGGTCATTTAGTAAGTACCAGAGACAAGATACCTGGATAAAGTTTTCTAATTCTAAGAAAGGTTTATGCTTAACATTTATTGGTAAACTGCTGTTATATGACCCTCAATTATCAACAAATAAAACAGTTTAGAAGATGCTGTACAATTACTTGTTAGGACAGTATACCCATGCATTTTCAAGGGAGGGGTTTAACAGTGAGGGTTAAACCAGACTTTTGATGATACTCAGGTAACCAATTAATCGCCATTCCCCAGTTGTAAAGGATTTTCAGTAATCCTTATTTTTGTCATTTGTTTTTTAAAAGTTACTATGATGGTTATTAGTGTTAATTTTTATTTATTACTTGATAGTACATGAGAATTTAGACAAAGCAAAATACTTTTAAGTTTTGGGGTTGAATGTATTTACAGTCCAAAATAGATAGCTTTTAAGTTATTTTAGGAGCTACATTATCTCCTTTATGTTAATTTTTGAATTATTGTATTTATAGATGTATATTTCTAAGCATTTATTCCTCATTGTAACCAAGTAGCATGAATTGAGAAATAGGTTCTTAATCAAAATGTACCATCTATACCTGTTTATTCTTATGTAACTGTATTGATGATAGTTACATGATCTGACATAACTAAATCTAATGTCTTATATTTCTCTTACAGATTTTATTAAACAAAGAAGAGCAGGACTGAATGAATTTATTCAGAACCTAGTTAGACATCCAGAGCTCTATAACCAGTAAGTCATTATCATTGTATTCTGAAGGGACACTGAAACCAAATCTAAGAATGTTGAATAAGCCTCATACAGATTTTATCTGTTCTGTGAAATGTTACTGTGCTGTAGACGAGGTATGTTTGTAAAGTCTTCCTTGAGCATTTCCTCCCTGATAGTCTTAATTCCCTTTGCCCTTCATCAACTTGTTTTCTTTCTTCCATTTGTATTTGGATTAGTTTTACAGATTAAACTTGAAATAAATTTGCATAATACAGTTCAAACATTTTGCTAATTATTTGATACTGCGTTTATCTATGCTTTCTAAAAGCCTTTAAGTACTTACTGTGTTCATTGGGAACATAAAGCTACATGAGTTTCATCCCTACCTTCTAGAGGCATGGGTTCCCAGTCCAGTGGGAGATTCAGACGCGTAAACAAGTAATCGAAGCTGGGTAGTTTTTATTTAGAGATGCCAGAAAATAACAGAAAAAAATGTGGCTCTCTCTTTTTGAGGATGTCAAGGAAAGCCTCCTAAGACTTAATGCATGTATAATCATTCAAGCAAAGAAGGTCGGGAGAACATTCAGGTAAAGGTAGAAGTACATGTAACAGAGGATGCAAAAACCCAGAACCGCGAGGCCACTTAGAACATTTCATGGTGACTAGAACAGAGTAGGGTTTTGAAAAGGAGATGAGGCTGATGGTGTTGGTAGGGTCAGGCACACATGCCCCCACCCCTTGTTCTGGCTGCAGCAGTGTTCTGTTGACCCACAGGAGGCTTCTAGTCTTTCTCAGCGTAGTATTGTAAGCAGATGAAGACACTTTCCCAGGCCTGGCTGCCCTCTTGGCTCATCCCTATAATGTCAGCTCTTTGGAAGGCCAAGGTGGGGGAATCACTCGAGGCTAGAAATTTTAGACCAACCTGGGCGATATAGCAAGACCTGTCTCTAGAAAAATTAAAAAATTAGCTAGGTGTGGTAGCACCTGTAATCCCAGCTCCTCAGGAAGCTGAGACCCAGGATTGCTTGAACCCCATTTAAGGTTTGATTGTGAGCTACTATAACACCACTGTACTCTGGCCTGAGTGACATAGCAAGACCTTGTCCCTAAAAAATAAGAAAGAAAGAAATACCTATGAAAACATTGGTAGATCTGTGGCTTAGTTTGTGTCTTTATTTTTGAGTCTAGTAATTGGTTCATGCTGATTACCTTTATTGTCCTTCGTAATTTAATATATGTTACAGTACTTATATTGTTTTATATTTATAAAGTATTATATTCTAAGATGAAATAAAGAAGGTAAAGTAAAATATCTGGGGAGCTTTTCCACAGCTCACCTAGCTATGTAAACATAAGAGTTGCTTTATATGGATAGGGATATCAACAGGGCACACTTTAATAATCTTTTCAGAAGTATAACACTGAAGGACTGTGTTTTTGAGTACTTGTTCTAAAAACAATGATTACCATTTATATAATTCTTTATAGTTCAGAGAAGGCTTCTACTCTCTCTCTCTCTCTTTGTCTTTTTTTTCTTGAGACAGAGTCTCATTTTGTCACCCTCGGTAGAGTGCTGTGGCATCACGGCTCACAGCAACCTCATATTCTGGGGCTTAAGTGATTTTCTTGTCTCAGCCTCCCAAGTAGCTGGGACTACAGGTGCCCACCACAACACCCAGCTATTTTTTGTTGCTGTTGTCATTGTTGTTTAGCTGTCCCGGCTTGGGATCGAACCCGCCAGCCTTGGTGTATGTGGCTGGCACCCTACCCACTGAGCTATGGGCGCCTAGGCAACTTCCATTCTTTTTTAATTTACTTAATTTATTAAGTTACTAAAAATACTAAAACTGAGTCTCCTCTGACAAGGTCTTCTTCCCAGAGCTATAGATTTCCCCTGATGCTCACAGGTAAGACAAGGGTCAGGGAGGTCTTGCCCCTGGATTAACCAGTGCAGTACCAGTAGGTGTCTTCACATTCAGGGCCTCCAGTAGTGGCAGAAGATCATGAAATTGAGTTCCCTATCTAGCCTGTTCCTCAGCAAAGACTTTTTTTTTTTTTTTGAGATAGCATCTTAGTCAGTTGCCCTGGGTTAAGTGCTGTAGTGTCATAGCTCACAACAACCTCCAACTATTGAGCTCAAGTGAATCTCTTTCCTCAGCTTCCTGAGTAGCTGGGCCTATTGATGCCTACCACAATGCCCAGCTAAGATTAGCAAAGATTCTTTTATTGTTTGGCTCTCAGTGGAATTACTTTGTTAAGCATTATGCCTTTTCCTGAAGACAAGTTCTATGCTATCTTCAGTTTAGATACACCCTTCTAACCACCTGTCTGCTCTGTGCACTAGCTGTTACTCTGAAATGGTATATTACTGGCTTCTTTGAAATATAATTCATGCATTCAAAGCTTAAATCTGTTCTGTATTGACAGAGCTGACTTGGAATAAGTATACAAAAGGTAGTAGTGGTGATTATTTGTTCTAGTATTTTTAATTGTTACTCAGAAGTTCTAACGCTATATAATAAATACTAAATATTCCAAATATTGAAGTATAGTATTACAAAGATGTTATATCTGACACTAAAATTCAACTAAAAGCAACTTGAATATTTAAAATTGCCAGTTTATAAAGCACTGTACTATAAAATATACAGTTCTTGAGTGTACAACTCACTGGATTTTTCTATACATTTGTACCCTGTAGCCACCACCATTACATTCAAGATAGAGAACATTTCTAGCACCCTCAAAATAGCCAAGAGTTTTTTAAACTGACAATTTTTTAACTGACAAATTTTACTTTGTAATAAAAATGACATTTCATATTTTCTGGATCCCTTCTCTTGTTAATAGAACTTTAAATTTCATGCTCTTCATTTGAGATCAAGCTATTTCTAAAATAGTAAAGGTTTAAGATTGCAAGAATCCAATCAAGAGTATCTTTTATTATTATTGAGGAAATGTACTTTAAAAATAGCTTTACTTCAATAGAGAAAAGCTCATTTTTAAGATAACCTTATTAAAATTAAATTTAAAAATCATTAAAAAGGGGAATAAAATGTTACTAGTTTCTCTGACCTGTGTATGGAAGAGAGTTGCCTGAGAATATTGGCAGTGAATGATGTATCACAAAGTAAAACAATGAAAAATTTGACTATTAAAAACTCATAAATGAATTATCAATCATAAATCAAAAATACAAATAATTGGCTCGGTGCCTGTGGCTCAAGTGGCTAAGGCGCCAGCCACATACACCTAAGGTGGCAGGTTCGAATCCAGCCTGACCCGCCAAACAACAATGACAGCTGCAACCAAAAAATAGCCAGGCATTGTGGCAGGCACCTGTGGTCCCGGCTACTTGGGAGGCTGAGGCAGGAGCCTCGCTTGAGCCCAGGAGTTGGAGGTTGCTAGCTGTGAAGTCACGGCACTCTACCCAGGGGGATAGCTTGAGGCTCTGTCTCAAAAAAAAAAAAATACAAATAATTTTCCATGATAAAGGTAATATAGAAGTAAAGTTAACATAGAAGGAGCTCATGCAAACAATACACTTTTAAGACACCAAAGGAAAAATAAAGCAAATGAGCTATTTACAAAAGAGGAGATATAAATGGCTGATTAGTTATCAGAGAAACTGAACATTTCCTTAAGAAATGAAAATGGTGGCTCAGTGCCTGTGGCTCAAGTGGCTAAGGCGCCAGCCACATACACCTAAGGCACCAGCCACATACACCTAAGACGGCAGGTTCAAAACCAGCCCGGGCCTGCCAAACAACGATGGTGGCAACCAAAAATTAGCCAGGTGTTGTGGTGGGCGTCTATGGTCCCAGCTACTTGGGAGGCTAAGGCAGGAGACTCACTTGAGCCCAGGAGTTAGAGGTTGCTGTGAGCTGTGATGCCATAGCACTCTACCCAGGGGGATAGCTTGAGACTCTGTCTCAAAAAAAAAAATGAAAATGGCCAGATGCAGTGGCTCTTGCTTGTAATCCTAGCACTTTGGGAGGCTAAGGCATAAGGATTGCTTGAGGCCAGGAGTTCAAGACCAGCACAGGTAACACAGCAAGACTTTTATCTCTATAAAAAATAAAAATAAAAAATTAGCATGCTTGTGGTCCCAGCTATTTGGTAGGCTGGGGTGGAAGGATTGCTAGAGCCCTGGAATTTGAGGTTACAGCAAGCTATGACCATGCATTGTACTCTAGCCTGGGTGACCCTCAAAAAAAAAAATGGAAGTGTAAGATTCAGAAAAGTGCCCAGATAATGACTATACAGCTCAATAAATTATCAGAAAGGGAACACACCTGAGTTGTCACCATAACCCCTCCCCCCAAACCAGGCCAAGAAATAAAACATTATCAATACCCCTGAAACCCTTCACATATCCCCTTCAATCTCTGTGTCTTCTTTTCTTCCTAAAAGAGTAACTATTGTCCTGATTTTTAACAATATAGATTAGGGTGCCCTGTTTTTAAACTGTATGTAAATGGAATCATACAATGTTTTTCTCCAGCTGGCTTATTTTCAACAAGATAAGAGTTGCCCATGTTGTTGTATGTAGGTGTAATTTATTTCCTTTGGTGTATAATCTATTGTATGAATGTGCCACAGTTGATTTATTCTGCTATTGATGGACATTTGAGCTGTTTCTGTTTTCTGGCTATTGTAAATAATATTGTCATTAACATATCTTTGGGTGCACATATGCGAACATTCTTTATGTATCTTGAAGCAGAGCTTCTGGGTTGTAGAGTATGTATATGTTTAACCTTAGTGGATAATGTCGAATAGTTTTCCAAAATGATAGTACCAGTTTTATACTTCTACCATCAAATCACATTGCTTACCTCACCAGCACTTAGCCTTGTTAGACTTTTCCATTTTAGTGAGTCTTTAGTGGTTTCTTATTATTACTTTAATTTGCATTTGCTTAATACTGAAAACTTAATACCTTTTTAGAAAAATGCAGTTTTTCACTTACCAAATTATCAAAGATGTTAATATACAATATAACCTTTAGTGCAGACCAAGGCTGGGAGAGTTTTCAGGGTGTTCCTATACTGTTAAGGGAGTGTAAATTGGTAACCTCTCTGGAAATCACTTTAAAAAATTATTTAATGATGAAAAATTGTTTACAATTCTGACCAGTAATTTTATTTTTAAAAATCTGCAGTTCTGAGGCAGGTGGATTGCCTGGGCACACAGGTTCAAGACCAGCCTGAGCTAGAGCGAGACCCAGTCTCTAAATATAGCCAGGCGTTATAGTGGGTGCCTGTCATCCCAGTTACTTGAGAGGCTGAGACAAGAGAATTGCTTAAGCCCAAGAGTTTGAGGTTGCTATGAGCTGTGATGCCACAGTGCTCTACTGAGGACAGCAAAGTAAGACTCTGTCTCAAAAAAGAAAAAAAAATCTGTGCAGTTCTAATGTTAGCACAAAGATGGTCAATTGCAGCGTTATTTATAGTAATGAAGTTGTATGGTAAAAAGTTGGAAGCCATCTATAGATCCTAAAGTAAAAGGAATCATTCGGTAACATTTCTTTTTATTTTTTGCATTCAGCAACTTTTAGTGCACCCATATTATACAACATCATATAGCTATCAAAATTACTGTTTACCAAGAGTTTTTAACAACATGGAGAAATGTTTATAATTAATCTTTAAGTGAAAAACATAAAAACTTAAATATAGCATGATCTTAATTATGCAGAGGAAAAGACTGAAATAAAATATGCTAAAATGGTAATAGTGATTACCTGTGTGTGGTAAGATTGAAAACCTCCACCACCCCCCCTTTATTGAGATAAAATTCAACATTTTAACTATTTTAAAGTACACAATTCAGTGATATTTAATATATTCACAATGTTGTGCAACCGTGATCAGTATTTAATTCTATTACCCCAATTCTAATCTGGCATTTTCATCCCCCCCACAAAAGAAACTACCTCCAAATTATCTCTTCCTTCAACCTTTGGAAACCACTATTCTACTTCTTGTCTCTATAGATTTGCCTATTCTGAATATATCAAAAATGAAATCATATGGGCAGTGCCCGAAGTTCACTGGGTAGGGCACTGGCCACATACACTGAGGCTAGCGGGTTTGAACCCGGCCTGAGCCTACTAAAATCAACAATGACAACTGCAAGTACAACCAAAAAATAGCCAGGCATTGTGGTAGGCGCCTGTAGTCCCATTTACTTGGGAGGCTGAGGCAAAAGAATTGCTTAAGCCTAAGAGTTTGAGGTTGCTGTGAGCTGTGACACCATAGCACTCTACCCAGGGGAACAGTTTGAGACTCTGTCTCAAAAAATAAATAAATAAATGAAGTGAAATCATACAGTATGCTCTTGTTTCTCTTCAGATTGGGTAAATCTTTCTAAAGATTTCCGTGGAGAGTGGATGGCGCCCATAGCTCAGTGGGTGGGTTGCCAGCTACATACACCCAGCCTGGCAGGTTCGAACCTGGACTGAACCTACTAAAATCAACATGACAAAGTAACAACAACAACAACAACAAAAATAGCCGAGCATTGTGGCAGACAACTGTGGTCCCAGCTGCTTAGGAGGCTGAGGCAATAGAATCGCTTAAGCCCAGGGGATTGAGGTTGCTGTGAGCTGTGATGAGGGCGACATAGTAAGACTCTGTCTCAAAAAAAAAAAAAAGATTTCCATGGAGAGGAACAAGTTGAGGTTTTAATCAATCTTTTGAGGACTTGTGTTGGCAAGGCTAATAATAAACAAACAAATAAATAGAATGAAATAATACAATATGTGACCTGTATGGCTGGGTGTGGTGCCTCACGCCTGTAATCCTAGCATTCTGGGAGGCTGAGTTGGGTGGACTGCCTGAGCTCATGAGTTTGAAACCATCCTGAGTCAGAGCCAGACCTCATCTCTAAAAATAAGAAATGGCTGGGTTTTGTGGTAGATGCTTGTAGTCCCAGCTACTTGGGAGCCTGAAGCAAGAGAATCACTTGAGCCCAAGAGTTTGAGGTTGCTGTGAGCTGTGACTCCATGGCAGTTTACTTACTGAGGGCAACAAAGTGAGACTCTGTCTCAAAAAGAAAACTAATAAAACAATACGTGACCCTTTTCCTGCCTTTGTTCATTTAGCATAATGTTCTTGAGGTTCATCAGTGTTGTAGCACATGTTAGTACTTCTTTTCTTTTTGTGGCTAAATAATATTCCATTGTATGGATAATAAACCATGTTTTGTTTATCCATTCATCCATTGATGGACATTTGGAGTGTTTCCACCTTTTAGCTATTACAAATAATGCTGCTCTGAGTAGTCATGTGTGAGTTTTTGTGTGAACATACTCATGTGTTATTATTTCTCTTGGATATATGCCCAGGAGTGGAATTGCTGGGTCATATAGTAACTGTTTAACTTTTCAAGGAACTACCAAACTGTTTTTCACAGCAACTGTACCATTTTACATTCATGCCAGCCCTTTCCTTTTTATTTTTATTTATTTTTTTTGAGACAGAGACTCAAGCAGTCCCCCTGGGTAGAGTGCTGTGGCATCACAGCTCACAGCAACCTCCAACTCCTGGACTCAAGCGAGTTTCCTGCCTCAGCCTCCTAAGTAGCTGGGACCACAGGCACCCGCCACAATGCCCGGCTATTTTTTGGTTGCAGCTGTCATCGTTGTTTGGCAGCCCGGGTTGGATTCAAACCCGCCACTTTAGGTGTATGTGGCTGGTGCCTTAGCCACTTGAGCCACAGGTGCCAAGCTGCCTTCCCTTTTTAAAAGTAATTTTTTTATCTTTTGGATTCCCTGCAATGAATATATATTGTTTGTATTCCCTGCAATGAATGTATATTGTTTGTAATTTTTTTATCTTTTGAAATCCTTGCAATGAATGCACATTGTTTTTAGCAGGTATAGAGAGTGAATCATTCCTCAGAATTGTTACTAATCCATGTGTGGCCCATCTTTCATTTTAATCCATTTTTTTTCATTTATTTATTTTGGCAATGGAGAGTCTCACTATGTTGCCCTTGGCAGAGTGCCGTGGTGTCACACCTCACAGAAACCTCCATCTCTTGGGCTTAAGCGTTTCTCTTGCCTCAGCCTCCCAAGTAGCTGGGACTATAGGCACCTGCCACAACGCCTGGCTATTTTTCTGTTGTTTAGCAGGCCCAGGCCAGGTTCAAACCCACCACGCTTGGTGCATGTGGCACTGAGCCTTTCTCTTCACCCTTAATCTTCACACCCATTTCCTCATCGTCACTGTTGATATCCACATTAATATGTTGGATATATGTACATGGATATCTGTATTTATGTAACTTTGTCAAAATTAGACTTACTGATGCTTTTTTTTTTTTTTGAGACAGAGCCTCAAGCTATCCCCTTGGGTAGAGTGCCGTGGCATCTCAGCTCACAGCAACCTCCCACTCCTGGGCTCAAGCGAGTCTCCTGCCTCCGCCTTCCAAGTAGCTGGGACCACAGGTGCCCGCCACAACGCCCGGCTATTTTTTGGTTGCAGCCGTCATTGTTGTTTGGCGGGCCCTGGCTGGATTCGAACCCGCCACCTTGGGTGTACATGGCTGGCGCCTTAGCTACTTGAGCCACAGGCGCCGAGCCCTTACTGATGCTTTGTATGTGTACACACACACACACACACATACACACACATATATACATGTAGATAGAAAGGAAATATGCATATCCTGTGTTACAGTTCCTTGTTTCTGGCTGCTGACTGATATTCTCTGTAGTCTGTTACCATAGTTGATGTACTTATTTCCCTGATGCCTACTTTGCTTCAAATTCATAGAGAATCCTGCAGTGAATGTCATGGTTATGTGCCTTTGCCTGGTCTTGTACATAATTTTTGTATAGTTAATCCCTAGAACTGGAATTTCTGGGCCCAGAGAAAATGCATACACAGTTTCACCAAGTATTGCCAGATTTCTTTTCAGAAAAGTTGTCTCGTTCTGTCTTCTCACCAGCAGTACATGAGGATGTCTCTTTCCCTAAGTCCTTACTAACTTCTGGTATTATCTTTCTTTCTTTTTTTTTTAAGAGACAGAGTCTTATTTTGTCGCCCTTGGTAGAGTGTGGTGGTGTCATAGCTCACAGCAACCTCCAAATCCTGGGCTTAGGCAATTCTCTTAGGCGATTCTCAGCCTCCAGAGTAGCTGGGACTCCAGGTGCCCGCCACAACACCCAGCTATTTTTTTGCTGGGGGCCAGGTTCAAACTCGCTACCCTTGGCATATGGGGCTGCTGCCCTACTCTCTGAGCCATAGGTGCTGCCCCTGGTATAATCTTTCTAATTTTTGCCAGTTAGTAGATATAAAATGGTATATCCTTATTGTTTTATTTTTATTTGATCGTTAATGAAGTTAGCATCTTCATAAATTTGCTTTGTCATTTGCGTTTTCTCTGTCAAGTACCTATTTATACCTTTGCCCATTTGCCTGTTGGTTTCCTTGTTTTTTTAAAAAAATAATTTTCTTATTGCTTTTATAATATTATTAGATGTTTTTGGGCTTTCTTAATGTCAGTGCTAATATAGTTATTTATATATTGGTTTTAATTTTAAAAGGCAGAAAACCTGTGGAAAGGCTTTTGAAGTTATATAATAAAGTTAATTTTTGTTTTTAGTCCAGATGTCAGAGCATTCCTTCAAATGGACAGTCCAAAACATCAGTCAGATCCATCTGAAGATGAGGATGAAAGAAGTATTCAGAAGGTAGTAAGAGATTTTTTTTTAACAGGAAAAAATACCATTCCCCCAAAGTTGAAATTAGTGGCAACCTTTAGGGCAACATATACTTAAAACGAAGTAACTTCATCCATAGTAGAGTTTCTGCTACATAAAATACATAAAGACAAACATGTATACCTCGTACTGATCACTGTTTCTTATAAAATTTATAGAATGAATACTTTTTACAATAAAAAGCAGTAAAAATTAAAAGAAAAATTTGAAAATAGTAGTTAAGAAATAAAGTATTACCCATTTTTTGCCACCCAGACCTAGTAATTTGTTTTCAATTTATTTGTTTATTTATTCATTTTTTACTTTTTAAATTTTTTTGGTTTTATTAAATCATAATTGTGTACATTGATGCATTTATGGGGTTCAGTGTACTGATTTGATATACAGTGCGAAATGCTTACATTGAACTAACACATCCATCACAATTATACTCTTTTCTTAATAATTTTAAAATGTACCATTGCATCCTGCATATTAGGCGAGGTCTCCCCCCCAAAATAGCCTCCCGCCTCCTGAGACATAGTAATTTTTAATATTTTAGTGATTTTCTTTCTTGTATTCTCTTCATATAATTATGTAATTTTATCTCAGATAAAAATTAATCTTAATTTTATTTCTCTAATGATAATTATATAGTGTGTACAATTATATATATTCTTTCTTCACTTTACGTCTTACTTTTTGATCATTATTTATATTTATCATCTTCACCGTGCTTGAAATTATTGTTTTGAATTTTGGCCAGCAGGAAAGGCCTTTTCAACCACAAATTACATAGCTCTTCCTCTGCATTGTCAGGTTTTTATACATAGAGCAATCCGCAAACACATGCCATTTGACATCAACTAACTTTTATTTCTGGGGTATATGTACTTAATATGTTACTAATAGAGAATGGGGTATTCTTATTTTTTAACTAGATTAATATAGTAGTAAGTAAAATAAACGTGTGCGTTATTATGAAGATGTTTTCAACATTTATCTTAGAAGGTTGTGTAGAAAGGGAAAACTAATAATTTAACTCAATATATTATGTAGCAATTAAAATTATAATTATGAATATAATATAAATATATTTGTAATTCAACCTTTGTAAATATTCTTAAATATATACATAAAATTAGAGGTGTTGGGTTGATGTACATTTTTCTTTATAATGTCCTTTAATTTTCTTATGGCTGTATTTTTATAATTTAAAAGCTAATGTTATATATTAGAACATATTAGTGTCCCAGGGCTAAAATATTCATTTGGGGAAAAAAATATATATTCCTTTTTTGTGACTATTGGGAAGTAGCAGTTTTTCTTCTCTGATTCCCCCAAAAGATTCTTACTTATGAGCACAAATTTAACCTTTGTATCTTTGACATGGTTGCTCCTACCACAGTGTAAAAAGATACATATTTTCTGGCAGGACTCCCATAGCTCAGTAGTTAGGACGCCAGCCAGTTAGGGCTGGTGGGTTAGACAAACCTGCCCGGGTCCTGCTAAACAAACAAACAAAAAATAGCTGGGCGGTGAGGCGGGTGTCTATAGTCCCAGCTACTAGGGAAGCTGAGGCAAGAGAATCAGTTGAGCCCAAGAGTTTAATGTAGCTGTGAGCTATGATACCATGGCACTCTACCGAGGGTGACATAGTGAGACTCTGTCTCAAAAAAAAAAAGAAAAAAATAAATAACAAAATAAAAAGATATATATTTTTTATAGTTGGCCCAAAAAGAAACAATAATCTGGGAAAACATTTGTAACAAAGCATAAGGAGAAATAACATCTATGTAAAAAGCTCATACAGATGAGTTTTTTGTTTGTTTGTTTGTTTTTGAAATAGTCTCACTGTGTCACTTTTGGGAGATTGCGGTGACATCACAGCTCACAGCAACCTCCAACTCTTGGGCTTAAGTGATTCTCTTGCCTCAGCCTCCCAAGTAGCTGGGACTACAGGTGCCCACCACAATGCC